TGCCTAACATGTGTCAGGCCCTGGTTCCATCCCCAGTAACCCATTCCCCTGCAAAAAAAGTCTCCCCTCCATAAAAGAGGACTTCACATGCATTGTGGGTAGCCTTATCCCCTGCACCTCTAACCCTTCATGGCACTTAAGAAGTGCTCTGTGAATTCATAAACAGGAAAATCTAGCAGAGACTACTCCCAGAGAGGCCTCAGGGCTACTCCCCAGCCCACAGAGCTGGCCTGTTAAAGTGTCAAACAGAAAAGAGGTACACACCTGCAACTGCAGCAACTCGGGAGGCTGAGGCAGGAGGATTGCCAAGACTGAGGCTAGCCTCAGCAATTTAGCAAGACCTTGCCTCAAAATACAAAATAAAAAGGAGCTGGGCGCCGTGGTGCACACCTGTAATCCCAGCAACTTGGGAGGCTGAAGCTGGAGGATCACAAGTTCAAAGCCAGCCTCCGCAACTTGGTGAGGCCCTAAACAACTCAATGAGACTCTGTATCTAATAAAAATATTTTAAAAGGGCTGGGGATGTAGCTCAGGTGTAAAGAGCCTCAGGATCTGATCTCTAGTATGCAAGGGGAAAAAAAAAATTGTGGCAAGCAGAGCCTGAGGTCACAAAACACACCAGACTTCCCAGAACAGGTAGGGGGTGTCAAATTTAGGAGGACTCTCCTAAGCTGTGCAGGCCTCCTGAAGTCTACTGTGCTGTGAGGAGCTAATGATGACTTGTCTTCAGACAGAGGCTCTGCCGATTTTTTTTTTTTTTTTTTTTTTGGTACTGGGAACTGACCTAGAAGCTCTATACCACTGAATTACATCCCCAGCCTCCCAAGTCACTGGGACTTCTGGTGTCTGCCACGATGCCCAGTCGGGGAACTGTCAGATATTTTAAAAGATAAAATGTAGTCACTGCTCTCTCTGAGAGGACTTACTTCTCTTCCTTGAGGGTACTCCTCCACCCCCTGCTCTTTTTCCCCCCTTCTAATAAATTTTGGTATACTCTGACTTTTTTTTTTTTTTTTTTTTTTTGTGTGTGTGTGTGTGTGTATGGTGCTGGGGATTGAACCCTGGGCCTTACATGCGAGGCAAGCACTCTACCAACTGAGCCATATCCCCAGCCTGGTATACTTTGACTTAAAAAAAGAAAAAAAAAAAAGCTAAAAAGTTACAATACTTTCCCAGTGCCCTCTAGTAACAACTCCCTTACACCTAGTTATAAAAGGAGCCAGGGAGGAGGTTCCCCAGACCTTTCCCGCCCAGGACCTTCTGTCCTCTGCTGTTCTGGGAGTAATAAAACCAACACAGACACAGCACTGTTATTCCTGACCGAGTGGCAGATTCCAGGGATCTGCTTGTATTATTCTTTTGGACCTCTGCAGTATTTCACAATAAAAAATGAGTAACAAAAACCAATGGAACAGAAGACACACAGTGAAAAACCCACAGAGATACAGTCACTTGATAACAAATGGTGCTGGAAAACTGGATACCCATATGTAAAAGAAAGAGACCAGATACCTATCTCTCACCCTGCACAGAACTTAAGTGGATCAAAGACCTAGGAATTAGACCAGAAACTCTGCAAATGCTAGAATAATAGCTAGTGTCAACACTCTGACATACTGACACAGTCACTGACTTCCTTAACAAGACCCCCAAAAGCACAAGAAATAAAACCAAGAATCAATAAGTGGGATGCCATAAAATTATGTACAGCAAAGGAAATGAGAATGTGAACAGAAAACCCACAGAATGGGAAAAGATCTTTGCCACCTGCTCCTCAGTCAGGGGATTAATATCCTGAATATATTAAAAAACTCAACACACACACACACACACACACACACACACACACACACACAGAACCCAATTAACAAATGGGTAAAAGAACTAAATACATACTTCCCAAAAGAATAAATACAGAGGACTAGGGATATAGCTCAGTTGGTAGAGTGCTTGCCTTGCATGCACAAGGCCCTGGGTTCAATCCCCAGCAACATACACACACACACAAAAAAAAAAAAAAAAAAAGAAGAAAGAAGAAGAAATACAAACGGCCAGTAACTATGTGAAGAACTGTTCAACATCTCTAGCAGTAGGGGAAAGGCAATTCAAAAACCACATAAAGATTTCATCTCACTCCAGTCAGAATGRTGATTTACAAATAAAAATAAACGTGGACAAGGATATAGGGGGGAAAACACAGTTCTACATTGTTGGTAGAACTACAAATTAGTACAACCACTCTGAAAAGTACTATGGAGACTCCTCAGAAAACTAAAAATAGAACCACCCCATGTCCCAGCTATCCCATTCCTTGGTGTATTTCCAAAAGATTAGATCTTTGATTTTAGAGTCAGCATACTAGAAGGATGCAGCCACATTAATGTTGACAGCAGCCCAGTTTACAACAGCCAAGCTCTGGGACCAGCCTAGGTGCCCATCAACAGATGAATGGATAAAGAAAATGTAGTATATACACACAATAGAGTTTTACTCAGCCACAAAGAATGAAATTATTGGGCTGGGGTTGTGGCTTAATGGGAGAGTACTTAGCACATGGGAGACACTGGGTTCAGTCCTCAGTAGCACATGAAAAAAATAAGTAAATAAAATAAGGTTATTGTGTCCATCTACAACTTTAAAAAGAAAAAAGAAAAAGAATGAAATTATGGCATTTGCTGGATGGAACTGAAGAGCATCATGCTAAGTGAAGTAAGCCAGACCCAGAAATTCAAGGGTCAAATGTTTTCTCTCCTATGTGGAAGCTAGAACAAAATGAGGCAAAAAAGGGGAGGAGAGGTTTCCATGAAAATAGAAGATACATCACAGGAGTAGAGGAAGGGGGTTAAGGGGGAAAGAGGGACAGGAAAAGGGAGGAACAGTGGAATGAGTCTGGCCCAACTTTCTTATGTACATATATGAAGATATCACAATGAGTAACACCTTTATGTATATCCATTAATGCACTAGTCTTTTTTTTTTTAAAGCTATAAATAAATAGAAGATCAGCAAAATAGAGAAAAGGGAACAAGGAGAAGAAGAGGGAAAGGGACTGATATTAGAGCAAATTTTATTCCATGCTTGAATAATGATGTCAAAATAAACCCCAATATTATGTATAAATAAAATGAACTAACAACAAAAAATTATGAATAAAAGTAATTCATATAGTTGGCAAAAGTACAAACTCTGAAGGGAATAATAAACAAAAAGAAGAGTCGTCTTTGTCCTCTTTCCCCTGGGTCTTGTTCTCAAGAGCCAGTTCTACTAACAGTTTCTTTCTTTACCCTTCTGTGCATATAGAAAAGCACATGTCCCGGGCTGGGGATGTGGCTCAAGCGGTAGCGCGCTCACCTGACATGTGTACGCTCCTCAGCACTACATACAAACAAAGATGTTGTGTCCGCCAAAAAAATAAATAAATATTAAAAAATTCTTTCTCTCTCTCTCTCTTAAAAAAAAAAAAAGAAAGAAAGAAAGAAAAAGAAAAGAAAAGAAAAGCATATGTCCTACTAGGGAGGCTGAAATACGAGCATCACAAGTTCAAGGCCAGACTTAGCTCTTAGCAACAACCTATATCAAAATTAAGTTTAAAATGGCTGGGGATGCAGCTCAGCATTACAGCACTTGCCTAGCATATGTGAGGCCCTGGTTTCAACCACTAGAACCACTGGGGCAAGGGGCAGAGTGGAGGAGCCCATGTCCATACATACACAAAATATGCTGTCCTGTATCTTTCTTTCCATACCTAATATCTCAAGAGACCTTTCAAACCAATTCAGAAATGAATTTAGTTCAAGATCAAGGTTGAAAACTCTCTTCCTATTTTACTGATTGCTCAGGGGATCAGTGTATGTGAAGTTACTGATCATGCCATTCATTCATTCCTGTCTGTCTGTGACTACCAGAAGCTGGGAGCCCTGGAGTCTTGTATCTCTTTTTCAAATACCAAGTTGGCATATTTATTTTTTTCAACAACCTCCCAAGAAACCTGATTTCTTCACGGACCCCAACAGTCAAGGTGATTCATTGGAAACAGCCAATATCCATAACCTTGCAGATACGCCTGCACCCTCCCCACCCTTGAAATCCCTAAAAGTTTTGGAAAGCTCCAATGGAACTATAATTTTGAGCAGGCAAATTAAGCCCCTTCCCTGCCAGGCTTTGGGGTTCCAGGTTCCTGTAAGTACCCTAGAACTTTGAAGGAAGAAGAAACTCTGCGCTCAGTAAACAGAAGAAAGCTGGCAGAGAGTCTTGTGTTGTATTAAAGGGTGTGGGGAGGATTTACAGCTGCTTAGGCATGGGTAAGGCTTCACTGAGTTCTGTGCTTGAGAAGGAACTATTTTTCCACCAGGACATAACACTGAGTGTTCCAAGGGCACAGGGCTGCAAGTTACCCCTCTCACGCACTTACTGTTTTATTGTTTGGTTTTCAGACAGGACCTTGCTATATTGCCCAAACTGACCTTGAACTCCTGGGCTCAAGTAATCCTCCTGCCTCAGTCTCTTGAGTCAGTGGGACCCAGGCATGTGCCACCATGCCTGGTTTATGGGTCCTCTCATTAGAAAAGGGGACACTGTCAATGCCCCAGTCCCATCTTCCTGCCTCGCTCTCCCTTGTCCATTCAGCACACATTTACCAAGCAGTGATCTTCGCCARGCAGTAGAGAAAACAATCAGGTCCAGAAAACAAGGAAAACAAACACCAGGGCAAGAACTGGACTTCAGGGGCTGGGGTTGTGGCTCAGTGGCAGAGCGCTCGCCTGGCATGCACAAGGCACTGGGTCCGACCCTCAGCACCACATAAACGTAAAATAAAGATATTGTGTCCACCTAAAACTTAAGAAACCAATACTAAGCAAGAAAGAACATGCTGTAGATACCAGAACTGAGGTGGGAATCCAAAGCTGACACAAGAGCCAGTCCTAGGAGTACAGGAAAGAGAGACAGGCCTCAGGAGGGCCTGGGCTCCCAGCTGAGGCAGTGAAGCCAGAGACACCTACTTCAGAAGGTTTTCCGCTCCTGTCCGCATCCGTACAGCCTTCAGGATCTGCTGATTCAAAGCCGCCCTTTGATTCTGCAGTTTGCTTCGACCAGTTTGTGCAAGGGGATTACAGCCCTAAGGAAAAAATAATAAGAGATGCCCCGTCAGAGATCAGCCACTAAAAATGATGACAATATTTAAGAAAACAGAAAAACGTTTAACATAAAATATCCTCTAAAAGTAACATCAAAGAGAAAAACAAATAGCTGGGCATGGTGGCTCACAAGTATTATTCCAACAGCTCAGGAAGCTGAGGCAGGAGGATCACCAGTTCAAAGCCAGCCTCAGCAATTTAGTGAGGTCCTAAGAGACTTAGTGATACCCTTTCCTAAATAAAATATAAAAAGGGCTGGATATGTGGCTCCGTCCTTCAATGCCCCTGGGTTCAATTCCTGGTACCAAAAAATAAGATTCACCAGACGTGATATTATTGTACTCATGAGCAAGACTTATCACAGCAGCTTAGTAAAGCTGCACAGACAGTCCAGATAAATCACATGCAGGCTTCTTTTATGTTCTCTCCCACCTATGATGGGTCACACAGCATACTCTTGCCCAGAACCAGAAATGCAACAACTCCACCCAAGTTAGCCCATTAGAGAGTCTTTCCAGGATTTTTAGTGGGTGCTGATCACAAAGGCACCCTCTGCCTAGCATGTACTAAAATTCCAAATTCTTAGAAGGAAAGCAAACGTTCATCATAAACCATACTTTTGTACCACCATCTAGGCACAGTGAAACCTTACCAGTTAGAGAATGAGGAGTACACTCCAAGGACCAAGTTTCCAGATGTTAGCGAAGGCCAACCTTACAAAATAGCCCTTCCTATGGCACATATATTTTGTCAGGTTTTCTTCTCTCTCTCTCTCTCTCTCTCTCTCTCTCTCTCTGGACTAGAGATTAAAGATGGGGTGCGTCACCACAGAGCTACACCCCTAGCCCTTTTTATGTTTAGAGACAATGCTGAGGCTGGCCTCAAACTTGCCATCCCCCTGCCTCATCCTCCAAGTCACTGGGATTACAGGTCTATGCTACCATGTCCAGTTTATAACAAGGTTTTATATGGAAGTATGTTTTTTTTTATTTTTATTTTTATTTATTTATTTATTTATTTATTTATTTATTTATTTATTTATTTATTTTCTTGGCTGTGTGCCCAAGATGGGATTACTGGGTTACAACAATAAGTCTATGTGACCATCAGACCATTTTCCAAAGTCACTATACTATTTTTACATTTCCATTAGGGTTTCCACTTATCCATATCTCATCAATACTTGTAAGGGTCTTTGTATTGTATGTTTATGTTTGCAGTACTAGAGATCAAACCCAGGGCCTTGTGCATGCTAGGCAAGTGCTCTGACACTTAGCTACACTCCAGCCCTATCTTTTTTATTATAACTATGATAGTGTTTGCAGTATCCCATTGTGGTTTGGAACTGCCATTTCCCTGATGGTTAGTGATGATGAACTTGGGCTGGGGGTATAGCTCAGTGGTAAAGCACTGGGTCAGCATGCATAAGTCATTGAGCTTGGTTCCCCTCACCAAAAAATAAAGTATCACTCTGCTCATTTCAAGAGTCTACAGCTGGGATATGGACCCTGAGGATTCCTGCACAGGTAAGGGTTCTGGCCCCATGTCAGTCTCCTCGTCCCTGGTCAGGTAAGCAGTAAAAGTCTTTTCACAGACTTATTGGCCATCTATTGATCTTATTTGGAGAAATATCAATTCAGAATGTTTGCCCATTTCTGAGCTTGACTGCCTTTTTATTTGTTAAGTTCAAAAGTATTAGTTTTAGCTGAATGTGGTAGCACATGCCTGTAATCCCAGAGACACAGGAGGCTGAGGCAGAAGGATTGTAAATTCAATGTCAGTGTCAGCAACTTAGCAAAACCCCTCAATAAAAAATAAAAAGGAGCCAGTTGTGGTGACGCACCCCTGTAATCCCAGTGGCTTGGGAGGCTGAGGCAAGAGGATCATGAGTTCAAAGCCAGCCTCAGCAAAAGCAAGGTGCTAAGCAACTCAGTGAGACCCTGTCTCTAAATAAAATACAAAACAGGGTTGAGTGCCCCTGAGGTAATCCCTGGTACCAAAAATAAAAATAAAAAGGGTTGGGGATATGACTCGGCAATAAAGTGCCCCTGGATTTAATATCCAGTATGGCAAAAAAATAAAAATAAAAACCTCGGGGCTGGAATTGTGGCTCAGCGGTAGAGCGGTCGCCTAGCACGGGCGGGACCTGGGTTCAATCCTCAGCACCACGTACAAATAAAGGCATTGTGTTGTGTCCATCTACACCTAAAAAAAATAAATGTTTTAAAAACAAATAAATAAAAAATAAAAACCTCTCATTCTTCCAATTTGCACACTCATTATTAGTGATGGTATATACTTTTTCATACAGTAACCATCACTTAGATTTCTTTTTCAGTGAATTGTCTACTTGTGTTCTCTGCCTATATTTTCCTGGGGTATTTGGGTTACAATGTTTCATCCTATTAAGTTTAAGATCAGAAACAATGTTTCATTTAAACCTAATGATGTGCTCTCCACCCCACACAGGTGTAAGCCCAAAGATCTAAGTCAGGACCACATTCTTTGTTGAAGCTTATCTGCAGGATTGGCAGCTGTGGCTACTCCCTGGGTGTGACCTGGCAAGACAGTCTTCGATGGCGAGATCACCTTTTCTCTCCAACTGCGTCACTGCAGTCCAGGCTCTGCACACACCTAGCCTCCCCAGCCTCACTCAATCAGAGCCACGCCCACAGCCCCAACCCCAGCAGGAAGAGGAGAGGCAGGTTACCAAGGTTACTACAGCCACCTTTCTCAGAAGTCCCCCATTATCAGTGGCCTTTTGGACTGGTGAATCAGAAATGAATTACATTTTTCCTTCCACAAAGATTTCTCATTCTCACTTTCTAGCAGGTCACCACTATTTGTTCCCCACGCAGGCCCCACACCTACTTTTCCCTAACTTTACAAAAACATTTCCTCCCAGAGTTCAATTCACACAGATATTCAGAATCTGAGTTGGGATGAATCTTGAAGTTAGTACATTTTAAACCATTAAACAATCCCTTATTTAAACTTAAAATCTGAAAACTAATTATCTTTTTTTTTTATTCAGATAGAAGATAAAATTGTCCTTAATGTTAAACTAATTGAACATTAAAGGGGTAAAATAACTTGTGGGTCTCTTTCCTTTCCACTTCCAAAAAGGGCTGGTTCAATTAGAATCAGAATGACATGGTTCACCAGTGCTCTGTTTTATTTTACAAAGACACTTTAATAACTAATTCTTTTATGTACATTCCCAGATAAGCAGCCATCATAGCATAAGGATAAGAGCTCTTTCCTGCTCCTATACTTTACCCAACTTCTGGAATCACTCCGCCCTAACCAGCCCACAGATGCAGGGTCAAGTTTCTAGATAAGGCAGAGGAATGCTTGGGATTAGATCTGAGTAATTGGACCCAAAACTACATTACTTCTCACTGACAGGTAGGAATGCTGGGCCCTGCTAAGAACATCAGAAATGCCCACCGGGCGGCTTGGAAATTTTCCTGTAAGGTAAATCTGGGCAAGATATCCAGAAAAATCCCCTGGTATCATCAGAGGCTGTGAGTAATCAATCATTAGACCCTTCCAAGGGGTTCTTTTCCTAGGGAGCCCCTCAGTGGTTACCCACACATTTCTCCTGCCTGGTATTGCCTAGTAACAAGGCCCTAGCTCTGCATACGCAGCTTCCAGCCCAGACCCTGCAACTCAGTGGCAGGATCTCATTCACATAGGAATGTAGAGTGGGCCCCAAAACTGGAACACAGGCTTGCACCAGGAACCAGGGGCACCAACTGAGTTGTCCCGTCCTCTAGGGTCACTGCTGACAAACTCCTATAACACAGTAAGACTTTCTTCTACACAGAGTCTATTAGGTTCTCTTCCCAGGATTAGGTCCAAGCATTTCCATCAGTCTTAAAAATGTGAAAGGATGGTTGGACAGCAACCACCAAGAAAAGCAAGCACTGAGGGACTCTTCAGCATCATCGCTAGCTGTGTGGACATCTCCCAAGGGTTGGACACCTATGTGGACCCTCATATGTTGGACACAACACCTCAGCTCTCACAGCTTTGAGACAAGGTGAGCTACTCGAGACTCAGAAGGAAGTAAAGATTGGAGTAAAGGTCTGCAGCTCAAATCCTTCCTGCTCCTTTGAGATGAGCTATGAGGCAGACACAGTGGTAGGAATGTGTGCCTGCCAACCCCCAGGCATCCCTCGATGTGCTCCCTGGCTCAGGGCGGCCCAGCGTTACCCCACATCCTTTGCGAAACAGTGTGATCCATGCCCCTCTCCCACTGTGGAGCCATGATGGTCAGGGGTGGTAAGTACCTGTTCTCTTACCCGCTTTCCAAGAGGAAGAACCATCTGACTTATGCCTGGCCAGTTGGAAAGGCATGTCCCTCACTCTACGACTGGTTCAGGGATAAGCACATGAGACGTGACAATCAGACTCAATCGCAGCTCATCAAGAAGTTGCCGTCACTTGGGCACAGTGGCACCTGGCTGTGATCCCAGTGACTCAGAAGACTGAAGCAGGAAGATGGAAAGTTCTAGGCCAGCCTGGACTATTTACCAAGACCCTGACTCAAAACAACAAACAAAGGGTTGGGGATGTAGCTCACTGGTAGAGCCCACCTGGGTTCAATCCCCACTACTGAATTGAAAAAGAGGCCCTCCTTGGCCTTAAACCTAGAAAGATAGAAGACTAGCCGGTAGTAGCCATTATTTCCAGCAGTAGGGCAGTATCTCCCCAGAAATGGAACCACCCTAGACCTGGGAAGACAGCTTTAGTGACAGCATTTGAGCCCTTGATCAAGCCAGGCCTGAAGTCATTCCTCTGGACTTCTCAGTTACAGGAGCCAATTCATTCCCTTCCTTGCTTAAGCTGTTCCCTCTATTATTATTATTATTATTATTAAGGTTTAATTTACATATAATACACAGGTTTTTAAGCATACAGTTCCAGGAGTATGGACAAATGTGCATACCTGTGGAGCCATAACTCCTATCAAAAT